TTAGTAATCTTTTTAAATTATGTACATATTTTATTATATATTTTTAAGGTTTTTTACCCCCCACCCCCCATCCTGCTTTTTATTTTTTTTTATTTAATGTCTTGCAGTGATGGGAGCATGCCTCCCTTTGCAAGACCCCCATAATGTAGATGTGCAAATTGAAAATTGCAAATTATCCCCATTTAAGTGACCTTGAATGGTGCTTGATCCAACACTGATATCAACATGTGATATTGTGTATATTGAACTAGAATCTTGAACAGTGAACTTCTCAAACCTCTGGAGATTCAAGGTGATTCCTCAGAAATAAAAGTTGCTGAAAAATATTTTTGATACTTTCCCTGAATGTTCCCCACCGAGCACTGTTTCAAAAAATACAATAAAGATGTAGACCCAACTGGGCGCATTATTTCATCAGTTAACAATACATTTTATGGTAGCTGGAAGCAATGGTTATTAATTAAAAACAATACTGGGAAAAAATCTTGNATTTTTACAGGTCTTGCTGAAGTGTCAGAGGGTGAAGTTAATGGGCACGAGATTCATCTTCTCTCTAACTCAGTGGCAAGAATAAGTTTTGGTGCAGATCCACAAGTTTTAAAGGTACAAATTGAAAATTACAAATTATCCCTATTTAAGTGACCTTGAATGGTGCTTGATCCAACACTGATGCCAACAAGTGATACTGTGTATTTTGAACTAGAATCTTGAACAGGGAACTTCTCAAACCTCTGGAGATTCAAGGTGATTCCTCAGAAATAAAAGTTGCTGAAAAATATTTTTGAAACTTTCCCTGAATGTTCCCCACCAAGCACTGTTTCAAAAAATACAATAAAGATGTAGACCCTATGGGGCACATTATTTCATCATTTAACAATACATTTTATGGTAGCTGGAAGCAATGGTTATTAATTAAAAACAATACTGGGAAAAAATCTTGATAGGTAGAAAGTCTCAGGCACTTAGAGCAATGTAATATATAATTTATGTTATGAAAAAAAAACCACCATTCTTAACAACATTGAATCAAAACGTTCCTCAAATCATTGTTTCGAAGGTCATAATGCCCATCCTCAAGTAACAGTTTTGTGCACTCTTTTAACTATATCCTTTTTTCTTCCGAACAATTTTTTTCTTAATTTTTTAACTTAACGCGGATAATTTGTACACCAAAATTATGCAATAAAAAATGTAGGTCACCATGCTTGTTTGAGAAAACGAGGATTTATTTAAATTGCTGTCGAGATTAACTTGAGGGAAATCTAGAGTAGCCCTACCCCAGGGAGATAATTTTACCATTTTTTTTTTTTTTAAAGAAGCAACAAATTATTATTATTATAGCCCACCAGTGTAGCCAGCCGAGATCTTGATAAATGAGATGGTAATTTTCACCATCACCGGGCCACTTAATTTGACAACCCTAATAAACACAGATTAAGTTCAATAAATTGGTCAATAAATTGGTCAATGTCATTAGGTTGAGAGAAGATATAAACTGAAGGATGCAGATACCCTGGAAATGGAGTGTTTCATGCAAACAACCAAGACCGATCTTCAAAAACATCTGCATATCACTTACAAGAAAGTCACGGACTGACTTAGCAAGGTTCTTGGAAACTAATTACATTGAAACCATTATTGATGCTATGAATGTGTGTTGCTCCAGAAAATATCTAATCCCCTCCAATGGATTTAGTACAGCATGTTATCATTTTAATTGCTTATTGACTGGGTAAGAGGTCTAGAATATGTTGGGTTCATTAAAATAAAGAATGCACCAAGTGCAGCAAGTTTTGTGCAGAGAGGTTGCTGTAAAAATGTTTCTCAAACTCATTAATAATTCATCAAGTTTAAACAAAGGAAATCATGACCGTGACGGTGTTTGGATATCTGATCTTAATTAGCATAGATTTTTACGATTTTATTTCTCCATTTTCTCCTTAGTTTYAGTTTCRATTGAGAAGATATATCAAAYACTCAAGAGAGTGTTTGACCACGTTTCCAAACACYTCGAAGTTCGTCAAAAATACTCTGCTGCATGTTGTATTTTCAACTCTCTTCTCRGTGTTTGGAAATGTGGTCAAAYACGGTCTTTCATGTTTGATATATTACATATAGGATTATTATAACTGCGTTACTTAATGGCATGATGTAAAGAAATAATGTTCTTGCCATGAAAAGACTCCAGTAGCAATTTGTAAGAGGTCAACTGGCACAACTGGAACACATGAGAGGTATAAACTAGAACAGTTTTAGAGAGACTTTGGCCTGTAAAGATAATATTTGAGACCAAGTGCACAGGGCCTACTTTTTAAGATTTTATTCACAGACTCTTGTCAAACTCTTGAAGCATCTTAATTAAGACGATAGTATAAAATATCTTAGCAGTATTAACATGTACCAGTAGCCCAGCAACTCAGATTGTTTTTTAACAATGCTTCTTGTTAGACAAGTTATCAAATAAATGCTTTGTTATTGGGAAAAAGATGATCATGGTAGGTTCTCTCATTTGATTTGAAGAAGCATGACACTACAGAAAACAGGCTTGATCAGAGCATATTATTTGAAGGATCACCTAAAGGATCATGATTCTTTTTTTGACATTTCATCTCTTTGTGCTCTGTTGGGAAGAGAGAGAGGGAGAAGAGTTTATTCCGATTTCTGTAGCATGTCACTAGTGGTATTTCTACTCCCCTTAATGGGATGTTAGTCCATCGCAGGGTTACCCCTCAGCTTAAGTTCTCAGTTTCTGTATTAAAAAAGCAACTAGAGGTATTTCTACTCCCCCTGGAAGTGGTGTTAGTACATCACAGGGTTACCCCCCACCCCCCACCCCAGCATTACACTTGCCAGTGCCTATTCATAAACCTGGGTGGAGAAAGGCAGCAGCACTGTGATAATTAAGTGTGTTGACCAAGTTGTCAGTCCGTTATTACGTCTTGCACTCACTGAGCAGTACATTTCCACCAGTACATTGCACAGAGAGATTAAATAGGGCAGTGAATAAATTGATCAACAGTGGTTCAAGATGGTGAAAAAAGAGTTTATTTGTCCCAAGAAACACAACAGTGTCATACAACCACCAGGGCATGTATTCATTAACCTTAAAATATAAATAAGGAAGAAATAAAGCCTGTTAAAAATCTGTGCTGCCTAAAGAAAGAGAAACAATAATCTAAACTAATTTAACAAATCTTAAATTTGTCTTCAACATTAAATCATTCATTTAAAGGATAATTTGAAGAGTGAATGAATAAGCTTTATGCTTTCTTTGATTCCATATTGCCATCAAGGTAGAGTCATCTTGTGCAAGGTTGACCATAACTTAGCTTGCAGTGAGGACAAGTTTTGCCACCACTGCAACCCAGCAGGACTTCCACCACAAGAAAACGGAAAATCATCTCTTCTAAAACTTTCTAAATATTTTGACATCCAGGAGTCACGACTGAATTATTGTCTTTTTTTTACTTTAACAGGGACCACGGCAACCTTACTTGTATTTGTTGTGTCCTTATAATTCATACTAAACTCTATTCTAGACTCAATGTAAATTAAGTGAACAAAATTTGAATTTTAAATAAATATTATAAAATATTAATATCTTACTTTAATCTTCTTAATTTTTGGCATGCACCGAACTTTACAACTCTGGGACTCTTTATATAATGAATACATTTTACAATAATATAATTTAACATTAAAATGGATTAAAGCATTAAACTATTGCCAGCAATATAATAAGCTGCTTGATAGCTTTGCTGCTATTTTTCTCTTAGCACAGGGATACAAAAATAAATTCTCTTCATCCCTTCTCTCCTAAAACGTTACCACATCTTTAGCCTGTGAAGGAGATATTTGCGCATTAACCTTGTGAATCAACAAGTCACTGCCGTTTGAATGATAGAAGCAAATATCTCCTTCAAAGGTTTTGATTCTTACACATTTGCAGGAAAATAAAAGACAAGCAAAAACAGGCCAGCTGATATGTCAGTTCCATTGTACAAACACTTTACTTACTTGTATCTCACAGCTATTTAACAAAAAAGTTGCCTGGTAGACTCCTCAAGCCTAATAATTGTATGTAATATGGAAAAATAACTGGAATTGCTCACTGCAAAACAATCTGCAATCTTACTGTTTTGTTTTGTTTTGTTTTGTTTTGTTTTGTTTTGTTTTGTCTTGAGATTTCTCTACTAGTTAGTGAAAGAGAAGATTCCTCATTCGCAACCACTTAAAATCAGAGTTGCCACAGTGGGGGAAAGCAACTGTGTGACAACTCTAACAACTAGTTGCAAAGGAGAAAACATGCTTAATTCTGAACTATTATTGGTAATAAGAGAAAAAAACTTAACGCACATTAGAAGTGTCCAGCTGTTAAAGGGACAGGAAACTAACTCTGTGAAAATGGAAACTCTTGGAAGATTAAAACAGAGTCCTAAGTCTAAGGCTCTATAAAGGTGCCATTATTCTTGCTTGTGACTGTAACAAACCACATGCTTACAGAATTAGTGGCTTCATCCAAATCAAACCTAGGACATGCTCACAATTCCTGTGTTTAGAGGATTCATTTGAATGGGAACCATGTAGTTGACTGTAAGGATCTCTAAGCATTTTACTTAAAACGGTCACAAAGCAAAAAATCATACCATCTGAATTGACCCTAAAAGAGCAACCTGGAGGAAGAACTTTTCTGCACACCGATCTTTTCATTGCAAACTACTCTTGGGAAAAAATATGCTGTCTTGAAAGTTCAATCCCAACAACGTTTTTTGAAATAGCTGTGGTATAGTTAATTTCCATAACTCTACTGTACAGAAACAGCAGCATAGAAAATTCTTTCTCGTTTTGTTTTTTTAGACCTTTTAACTTTCATTCACAAGAATGACATAAAACATTTATTTTGTTAAAAAAAATCAGAAAACCAGTTTCTGTTCCTTCATTCTCTAGTAAAAAAGTACTTTTTGCACTGTACTTTAGTCGAAGTACTTTCCATCCATTATCATGTGTAAAAATAATCATGAACAATTGTGGAACAATATTTTTCTAAAATGAAAATGTCATCATTTAGAGAGATGCTTCATGCACAATTTTTGATGCAATCTACACAACATTACATGCAAATTTAAGCATGTTGATGTGTCACCCCATAAACTGACAAAACAAAATACTAGTAATTAATACAGTGTCGGCAAAATATCGAAGAGTCAGAAAAACCATATGAATCACTTAGTTGACTGGGCTTGCAAATTTATGGCTGGATGAAGAATAAAACATGACCATCCATGGTTAAATTTGTGAATAAGCACATTAATGTTCCAGTTCCTAGAGAGTCATGCGCAAATGCTTGTCATAGATGAGTGCAATAACCACACAATAATAAATGAACAGGTGTAAAGGGGCGATCACTGCTCTGCAGTCTGTGTGACAGATGAACTTCCATTGCACACCCAAAAGCCTAACTTCTCTCCCCAGCGGTGAAACCCACACTGGATTGGACAAGTCAGCAGAGGAAAGGCTTATACAAGCACTATAATATTGGTTTGCTTGGAAGGCATCAAAGCAATAGGCCATATTCACATTCTCAGTAATGGACTGCAATGGAGGCTCGTGTAAGGGAAGATCATTAAAAAGAGATTAATATAATTTGCATTTGAAAAGACTCCCTGCATTAGCCTCAGTTGCAAGCTATTGTAGTTCCAATCCAATACTTGGAATGCAAACAATGGTCTATTAGAATCGCCACTGGAATTTGGAGCATTCTATTCACAAGCCCAGCAATGGCTTAACTGATTCATACTTCCAAGGTTACTTTTATACCACAATACAAATTTAACATGGTCCAATACAAGGACAAAACGTCCACGTTTTCAGATTGAATCAAAATTAGGTTATTACATTTTTCTCTGAGAGAAAGAAAACTAACTCAAACTGATTAACTAGACATAAAATCAAAGTATTATTACCAAATCCATTGCATTTTGTCAAGAGGTGAATATGATGAAAAACAAACATATATGACCACAGCAGAAACAGCCATTTAAAAGCTAGCACAGCTGGTTCAGAAGCTAACTTCTGGGCATAAATTATTCATTGCAGTGAGTCTTAATCTTTGACCCTCTCTCTCTCGGTCTGCACTCAAAATAATAAAATTGAGTACCTGTAAAACATCAAGAAACATTTTTTCGTAACTTGTCCTGCACCGGAATTGTTTCATTCCAAGTGAAAGATCCCTGTTCCATTTAAAGTTTCCCAAAGAAATACTTGATGTGCAAGGCCATGAAAGTGAAAAGCTTAATGTGGTTCAAAGCCATAAGTCAAACCCAAATTTCCATCAGAGTGAGAACCATGAGAAAACAGGACTACTGTTTCAGAAGTTCAGGGCCATTCCTCTAAGAAATTTTCCAGTGGACTGGCCCTGAGAAGTTGCGTTTGACTTACATCCAAACCAGAATTTCCAGAATTTTTCAAAAATGGAAGAAACTTAAGTATACGTCTACCAAGTGTTGAAAGTTGTGACGACAAGTTCTCACATGAACTCTGTATGACAACATGTTGCCACAACTTGCAATGTAAGTGGTAATGTGCACAGCAAGATCCTGCTTTTCAACTTGCAATGCAACATTTCTGTACACTGTAAGAAAGTACACCCTTCTACTTGCCATTTATGCCCATTTGTTAGCACCTGTACCAGCACACCACAAACCATGCCATTTTGCAAGTGTACAGTTCCAGAAAATATCCTTGCCCACCCCAGGATAGAGTCACTGGAAATTCCAAGGGGCTTAGAAGCCCCTCCCACCCCCATTCCAAAACTTTTAAAGAAAAGTATGAACTTCAAGCTAAACTGTAATTTCCAGAGGGGTGGGAAAAATTTAAACCAAAAAGGGAAACTTCTGTAAGGCTGAGTGTGGGTGGGTGTACACCTTCTCTGGAACAACACAATGTTTATTTGCTTAGCAAAAATCTTTTAGCAACAGTTATGTCCTAACAATTATTAAGCTATTTTAGCTGATAAGTTTGCATCTCTACATGTACAGAATTCTTTAAGAATCCGTAGTAAGTGTGATTATTTTGCTTGCATGCATGCTTAGTAACAGCGCTTGAAAGTGAATTGAAAACCTGGGTGGGGGGTTCCCCCTTAAATTGAAGAATTTTTGGTAGTATATGGCCGGTAACATCATTTTTCACTGTACCAAAAATAGCTGCTCTCCAGTATTTTTCTGCCTCACTGTAACCATTGCAGGTTCTATCTAGGAGTCTTTGATGATGAGGCACCAGCTGCAGGGCTGACCACTGGGTGGTAATACTTGCAGTTAGGCCTTGTGCATTTCCCCTTCACTGCATCTCGGCAAACTGTCACCTTACCATCCACAACTTCTACATTCTCTACAAGTAAAACAGTTACAAATGGACATGGGGGTGTGAATTGAGTGACTAAAGATTGTTTTTATCAATCACGTGTTGGTAAGCTATGTTTGTACAATCACTGGGGCTCACTGCAAGTACTTCCAGTCCATTTCCTACTCTCTGCCAGAAGAGGCCCAGACATTTGGAATGATGAAGTCATGAATTCACTGATAACACTTTCATTTCATTTCATTTCATTTCATTGTTAAAATTTTGATGAAGTGAAATATTCCAAAAGAAAGAGAATGCCAGAGATCAAATGGTCAGCTGCTTGTTAAAGCAGTTAACAAGAAATATAAGGAGTAACGTAGTTTGACATTCCGATGTATCTAATACCATTATCAAGAATAAAAATTGTTGAATGTCAACGTTGTTAAAAGAGTTCAGTTATGAATATCATTAGGTGGCTTTCCTGTGTGCATGATAATCATGCTAATTGAATAGCTTCGTATAAATCGAGTCCGATTGCACATTCAGTGATGGTTTGAGATCTTATGTAAACAACATTTCGTAAATAAGGCAGTCTAGCTACAAAATCTTAGTTCTAATCTCAGAGTCTCCCTACATCCAGTCCTCAGCTGTAAGAAAGTCGGCAACATCCTCAAGACTCGAGAGCCAAAACCAAAGATCATAAGCGAACAATGCGTAATACATCATTTCAAATGTGGTCTATGCGACATGGACTGTGTCGGTTTTACCAACCAACACCTATACCAATGCATTATCGAACACACAAGCTCCAGATCTTCGATTGGCAAACATAATTATGAAACAACATGGAGTCCACAAACCAACTATCGCGGACAATTTTTTGGTCCTCAGTGTGCTGGATAAACTCATGGGCCTGTGCCATAAAGCCAAATATAATTCTAGTTTTGGAATCAAGTTTCACATTTAATAGTTGACTGCTCCATTCAAAAGCTTGAAACAAAGAATGAAATAAAATACGTAACAAACTTCATTACTGAGAGAAATGCGAAGCATTGGATCAAGTCTAACAATTTAAACTAGAAAATTGAAAAATTAAAAATTTACATGATAAAATGGTCCAATTCCTTATAACTGTCCATAAATGTTTAAAAATGGATTTTTTGAAGCTTGTAAAGTTAGGTTGGTTTTTGATATGGGCAGGCATCATATTCCAGAGGTGACTAGTCGATACTGAGAAAGACCTTCCACCCTCAGACTCCCATTTGAATCGGGGGCAGACCAATTTAATTGACCATGCCTGCTTGTTCTTCCGTTCACGTCTGCGTTTCTGATAAGCATCTGGGTAAAATAAGATGGGCACTCCCCTAAAATCCTTAACTTTGTTTGTTTGTTTTTGTTGTTTTTTCTGGAGAAAAAAGCTCTGACAGATGTTAAATCACAAGAGAACTTTAAAGTTCAAAAAAAGTGTGCCAGAGATTCAAACTCAAAATCAGTTGGAGACATTTTGTTATGTGTTTGTAAAGAAGAAAGGGGTGGCTCCCAAGTGAAAGTGAAGGGATGACTTGAATGTTTTGAAAGGAACCACTTGAACTATCATCAAATTATTCTTAAATGGCTAGTGGCTGCTAGCATATTTTCTTTTTACAGCAGAGTAACTGGATACCAGGTAGCAATGGTTATTTTAGATTTATGCACTCCTAGTGGATACCGGTAAGTGCAATAAATTGAAATAACATGCTGAAAAATGGTACAATCAGTAACATATAACATAACAGGTGGCACACCTTTTTAAAACAATTAGATTATTCACTCTCGATTTCTATGCATGATAGTTCACTTGGTCTGCATCATTACATCAACATTTCGGGCTAGTTCTGTGTTTCCATCAAGTTATAGAAACAAGATTTTAAACCAAATTATCAGCGCACATATTTTCTTTGGGCTATTTTCTAATGTAGTTTAAAGATCTAAAGTTATAAAATGTCTTTGCTCTTCTGTATCTCATGGCAAATTCAAAGGAAAATGTGAAGAAATATATTTATCTTCTTTTTCAGAAAAAGCGCTGACATCAGCATTTTTGGCTGGCAAACGGACCTTTGTCTTAAGTATGCTCCGTCTTTAATACAAGTTCAAATGCTGACATCAATCAAATACTACTTTCCTCAGTTACTACTTAAAGCGCAGGCAAGCAAAAGCAGTGTGGGAGCCTGCCAAGCAAGAGGTCTTAAGCACAGCTTAGCCCTTTCAGCACACAGCTCGATACCCAATTCTCTTTAATTACTTGACAGTTTTGAGGACATTTGATTGCAAATCATGAACATCTGTTTAAGTGCACCAACAATCTTTCTATCCTCCTGATAGCCAGATATTTGTCATTGTCGTCACCTTAGATCAATGAGAATTTGAATATTATGACTGGGGCTGAAAGAGCTAATCAGCTAAGCGTTAACACAAGAAAGAGAGCTCACTGTCTTTAACGTGGGCATAGCGGCAGGCTTCTCTGTGACACTGGCCAGAGACAAAGTCCCGACAAACTGGCAACCCATTGGAGGAGTGCTGTCAAGGGAAAAAAGGAAAACAGGGTCTCAGATTGAGTTGTCAGACGGGAGCAAAAAGTGCCAGTTGTGGGAGAAGGGATAAAAATATCTACAAGACATCTAGTCTACTTCTTAACTAAAACACCTTCATCATTCACACTGGTGTGAAAGGACAATGGGGGGTTTACACTGAAAACACAACAGGTTATCAAGTGCCCAGTCAATAGAGTGTTGCAAGCGCTGAGGAGGACCTGCCAGGCTTAAGAAGTGTGAAAGCAGCTAGGACAAATGCAAGCGTGCATAATGCGGCTTAACCATGCCACGCCCAGTTGCTGAAACAGGAAGGTTAGGAAAATAAACTTCACGTTGACAAGTAAAATATCTAATGTAGAGTGCAACTTGAACATCATGGCTGTTTGTTTCCACAACTTATATTTTGGGCCAAATTTAACATGATAGAAAATATTGGTGTAAGGAAATTGACATTTTTAAGTTTTTTTTTTCCAACTGTAAACGAGATCAAACATTCACTTGAAATGAAATAGTGTAAATTATAACAGCAAGCATGACGAGCAAGCCACACTCGAAACCTCTGGACACAAACATGTACACTAATCTTATATATAAACACGTAATTAACACCACCAACAGACGACATAGACAAATTTTAATTCAACATATGATTCAAATAAACTCTACAATCACATATAAACACATAAATAACTATTTTCCTCTACAAAAATCAATTTAATGCTATGAAAAATGAAAATTTTACTGCAAGACATTCTGGAATAAAAAACTTCTTCAGGTTTTCTTGACTCAACTAGAAATTTGTTTAGTTCAGTCTTCTTTGTTATTTCTCTCGTCTTGCAATAAACATTCCATTAAGAAAGTTATATGTAATAAAACAACTCTAATAATTATAATTCTACATACAAGTAGATCACAATGGCTCAGCCATTGGTACTTAATTGCACAAAAATCAAATCAATTGCTCTTTTTTATGTGCTTTACCTGATTTACATCCATTGTAAAATAACTTAAAGTGATTCATACAAAAAAAGATGTCTAAATTTTTTTGAAAGTTAATATTCTGTTGTACATCTCAAAGATGGAACTTAAACTAACACTCTCTCTTTCATAGTACAGCTTTTGACGTGTATAAAGATTTGTCATGTTTTATGAAATTTCTAAGCTTACAGTTTATTTTTGGGTCAACAAAATATTACCCTTTCTTTGGTAAATTACTGTTAGATTCCATGCTATCGATCTCAGATGACCTTTGACAAGGTTAAAATTCGGCCTACTTCACACACTTCAGTTTCATTCAGCTGTAATTCAGTTGATACTTCTTTAATTTCTTGCTTGTATTGCCACTAAATTTGTACTGGCCTTGAGGGCAATTTTTACTTGCAGCTGTAACTCGTAGCAAAATTAAGTCTCACACCAACCAAATTTTCTTCAACAGGAGAAGCTTTTCTTGCAATAAAAATTTGACACGTGCTGTGGGCCAACATTGCTACGAGTCTTAGCTGTGAGTAAACATTTCCATCATTGCTTGCACTATCAACTTTGGTGGCTACCTGAACGACAAAGATAGTGTATTTTCCAACTGCAAAATGAAACAATGGTGCATGAAGTCAGCTGAATTGTTGACATCATCAAGGGTCATCTGAGGTTGGTAGTAGTTCAAAACATTACTACCAATAATTCATGGCCTTTTTGTTTGTCTTGGAACTGCCGTGTTCAATTAAATGAATAATGCAGCCAGTATTGTACAAAATACATATAATATAGTCTATCTCTCGTAAGTACATACAAAACAATCTCTCATGTTAAATAGTAAATGTAAATAACTTCCCAAATAAAATTATTACACAGTCATGCAAATATGTGAAGGAAAAAGACCCAGATAAACTACTCATCCTTCTTATTGTATGAAATGAATCAAAGCATGAAACACCTCACATTTCCTCTCCCGTAACAAGTAATCCATAAAACATATTATCACCTTGCAGACACAATTTTCTCAACACGTTTCTCTGTTCTTGCTAAATTTTGAAATAAAGCCAATTTGTGGTCATCTCTTTATTTTGAGTCATTGTTTCAAGTAAGAGCTTAGAAAATCTAGACAGAGCAAAAGTAAACATTATTTCAATTAATTCCTTAATTTCATTTGTGGTCATAGACCTAATTTAAACATAGTCAGAGTTGACAATAACATTAAGTGCTTTGATATATTAATACTATACAGAGTTGGACGTTTTGCCAAGAGTTTCCAATTTCCTCTATGTTGTCCTTGACAACAATAAATCTTTAGAATAGTGTTACAGGATTCTTGAACATCGGTCTCCACTGGATAAACAACAGTGCCTTCCATGACTTAGTGGAATGGCCTGTAAATCAATTCTTGTCTCCTCAGTCTTGCATTGCCTCTGTGACAGCAACCAACTGGGTTTCTTGCTTTCAACAGAGCAGAAGGTCACTGACACCTGCTCCTCTTTCTCTCAATTTGTAAACTCTTGTTCAATCACTTCATTCTTTCTCTCTGTACTATTAATTCACACACTCCCCCCTAACACGTGCCTCTCTACAGATGCATACAAAAGGAACTGCCCCTTTGATCACAAAACATGGGGCGACATAACATAGGTGGGTGTGGTAGGTGCCGAGGCTAGCGTGTAGTTGTTCCAGTACTGGACGTCCATCGACTGGACTTGAGGGTCAATGATTTGGTAGGATGTTTGAGGAGTAGGAGGAGGTGCGAGAGGAGGTGGAGGTGTCGCGGCTGACTCCACAGGCACATAGTTAAACACCTGTGGCTGTACCTGGTGTTGCCACTAGTGGACAAGGAACATGAAACGAAATACCAAAGTTAGCATGACTTACAAGTCTACACTGGTGGGAAATCAGGAGATTAGCTTCTAAAGAAACTGTGGTTCTTGATAGCCGGGTTGACAAGAATTTTAACATCTACAGTGCTGATGTAGGTTGTATAATCAACTTGATTCTGATTAATTTAAAATTAAGTTCCAAGGGTGAATTGAACTATCAACAAAGCTGCAGCTACAGTAGCTGCAAAGATCTCAAAGGAACTTCACATGAACATGACTCATAAACAAATCCACTTGCTTTGCTATCATCTGGAACACTTTGCAAGACACAAATTAATGGTTCTTTCAATAATATAATATTACAAAGAACATGTTTTGAGCATATTCCCTGAGTTCTGTCTCACAGGCCACAGCTGTTGAGTGATAACACAAGTGAATTCATTCATGAACTTTTAAATACATTACATTATTATTGAATAAACGCATGCTTGAGGTGACATTTTACTGGGTACTGTGATTTCAGAGCCATGAACCAGGAGTTCTGCTGCAGCTAACTTTTATTGTGTATTCCACAGATGTCTGGCAGATGCTCACTTTAACCTAATTGTCATAGCCTTGGGAACAGGGACATCTCTGCCTCCTTGACGGTTGTAAGGTAGCATTTTCATGATCTTCCTGATGTCATAATTTTGCCCCACAAACAATGTTGCTGCAACTGTCTGCTTAATTTTTGCAAGTGCTGCAACAATTCAAAGAGGTGTTTAATTAAACTTGGCTTAATTTTGTCCTGGATTTATTGGTAATATCATATGTTATTAAATGTGCTCACAGTACTCTGTAAACAGTCTCCTTAAGCAGGTGGTCAGTGAACTTAATGGACAAAATATTTACCTGAGGCACTTGTGTTTGAACCAAGGGTAGGCCAGGTGCAAGTAGTGGCACTGAAAAATATGAACAAAATATTTTGTTACATTAATGGAATTTCCGAAACACTACACATTCATTGGCTCCTTTGAGGTCACATGGCATGTCACAATGAATCAGTTCCATGCCAGTCTCTAACTGGCAACACTGATTAATCTATGACCAGTCATTGGGTGTTAAATAATCAGATCATACTGAAGTATGACAGAATTTTTGTTTTGGAGATGCAGCTGTCAAGCTAAGGACTACATTGCTATACTTTTCACTATTTACTGCATTGCAGACTACTTACTTGTAGGTATAAGAGACGTGAACTGCAATCCGAGCGGTTGGTTGAAGGACTGAAGCGCTGCCGCTGCCCCTGGCATAACCAGAGGCACCTCCACAGCAGTCTGTTTCTTAAATGGTTCACCAAAGGTCTGTAAATAAATGCTACAACATCAGAAATTCATGCTTGTCTAATAGTGTTATCCATGCATTGTACAACAAGTTGCTATATGCAGACAGAAGAGATATGGTAGCCCAACAGTCCCTTGAACCCCCACGAATAAATTAAACTGAATACTCCTTAAAAGTATCCACACATTTCTCATAACACAACTTGGGAGAATCTGTTTAATCATCAATAACTTTTCTCAACATTTTTCTTCAACATTACATTAACAAAGGAGGTTTAAGACCATGAGAAGAACACTCTTGATGGGTTAAGCTAATCCCACAATCTGTTTCTGTCAGCTTATTACAGCCCTTTTTGAACACTAACCCAACAGGCCCCTAGTTAGTAGCCAATAGTCGCACCCTATACTAAAGCAAAACATTATTGGCTTAGTATGTGTTGAAGCTATTTCTTGTTCGGTATTGACAATCAGTGGTCGTAAAAGGATCAATAATAGATTGATCAATAATAGCCAAGCCAAATCACATTTTTATGAACGTTTAAATAGCTAACACAAAACTTCAATGGAGAATGTGTTCTGACAAAATTCCACACTATTTTCAATTGTTTACTTGTTTCCCATCATTTGTCTTTCAAAAATCCTTTTGATCATTGCAGAAGAGTTTCATAATGTTGCCAGACTTCCAGATATTTTCAGCAGCACTACCACTAAACCTGAAGGCTGATCATATAACTAGCTAAACCATAAAGCAAGCTTCACAAGATTTCAGAATATGTATTCCAGAAGCACATTGTAGCTAATCGTTCATAACACATTTGTGTCAGCTCGGTTTCCACATGATCTCAGGTTAAATATTTCACCATTTCTGGCTCATCTAAGAACATGAAGCCATGAAAGCTATGGTCACATACAATTAGACACCTTCAAATTGCCAAAAGAACAAATTGTCAACCTCTGGAGTTTGAGATCCCTTGATGAGCAAAGAAGATAACTTTATGTACGACATCTTCAGGGTTGTCCCAAACTTTGCCCCAGATTAATCACACAATGCAATGGTATGTCTGGTAACCCCAAATTAAAGTTTTATCTAAGACAATAATATAAACCTACAAGTAATTGTCCACAAAGAAAAAGTTTTGGGTTAACCTCAGGAAAGAACCCTGAAGGTTCCTCAAAAGCACCTCACACAGCAGCCCTACTAGATTTGGTTGTTATATATGATATTACAGCTCAGTGTTGTTAGTTCAGTCCAGCACTCCAAGCTGACATGACATTTTTTTTAACATCCATTCTCAAAATAATGGCAACCACTGTGGAGCTAAAACTGATGATCTGATTAATACTTATATAAGAAAGATTAAAGCCAATTTCCTTTGCTTTTTCACACTTCCACAAAAAAATAGGGCTCCAAACTTGAAAGTAAAACCAAAATTGCGATAACAATAAATTATTAAAAAATTCAAACAATTTTAAAAATAACTAATTTATCTGCTATGCATTCATAGGATCAGTGTGTGTTGACAGTTGTACACAAAATTTTTTCACTTTCAGCAGCTAATTCTAAACAGTGGTGACTACTTCCGCTCTGACTGGCACAAGGAACAGTAATGCTGTTGATAATAATATCAAGCAATTTTAAACATAAATAATTCATCTGCTATGCGTTCATAGGATCAGTGTGTGTTGACAGTTGTACACAAAATTTTTTCACTTTCAGTAGCTAATTTTAACAGTGGTGACTACTTCTGCTCTGACTAGCACAAGGAACAGTAAGGCTGTTGCAATGATCTCTGCGAGTTACATACATGTGTATGTAACATGAGACCCTTTGAAAAAATAACAATGCTCAGAGTGCTGTTAACATTATTTCAGGTGCTTTACAACTACAGATAGCTAGATTGATGGCAGCCTTTTTTCTTTTAAGGGAATGTGAGTGAGTAGGGAATGAGGCAAGACAAATGAGTGTGCTGCCCATGTCTTGCCCCATTCCCCTTTAGGCTAACGCATCTCGCCTCATAATCCCTGCTGAATTTTGAAAGAAACAGACTGCCAGCCGTCTAACAGGTAGCGTGCTTGTTAATTGGACCTACAAAAGCAAAATGCTATTAAGTACCAGTTCAGGTAGCATTTCATGGGGCCTCTTGCGGCTACCCTCCAGCTACAAGTCAGCAGGCGATGTGCAAGCACAAAAGGAATGAGCCACAATGCCAGCCAGCCAGCAGCAGCATGATGTAAGCAACAGCACATGAAAAAAGACAGGCAAAATGCAAGTCATGACTTATGCAAATTGCTGGCTCTAAAAAAGCTCCATGCATTGTTAAAAGCAGGCAGGATTAGACATCTCCAAAAGCCCTGCAGTGGCCCACAGCTAGCAAAGCAAAATTCAGGGTAAGTAAATCACAGGACTTTTAGCACAGATTCCATGGCTAACCAGACAATTTGAGACATCTTGTGTTATATCAATGTGGTAAATATGTGCCGGTGGATTTCCAAGTTGCTTGCCTTATGGGTGCTGATTCAGGCTTAGAGATGTCTTTCCCTGGCAGTGCAAGTAGTTGTTAAGTATAAAAAATCTAATCAGACCTGCCAACTTACATGTATTTCTCGATTCCTAGGTGCAAAATTTTACAACTTACAAAAGCAAATGTTGGAACTTCTAGGGCTTCTTCGGGGCTGCAAATATGTGACAGTCAGCATTCTTAATGAACTCAGATTTCAGGGCCAAACATAAAAGTGCAGTATTTCTTTAGGCATATTTATGAGTGCACCATACATTTTAACCATCTACATGTATGTTTCACATGAATTATTGTCTTGGAGTTGGCAGGTCCTGCCAAGTACATGATCATGCTATTAACAGTACAGTAGAACCCCAGATTGTGATCACTTCCTTAATATGGCCATTATTTTCTCACACAAAGAGAACTTAGTCAGTCACTGTTACTTAAGGACAACTTCTACATGTATGTGATCACAATGTCAATTCCACCGTATTACAATGGTCAGTAGGGTTCCAATGTACTTTCTGCTAATGTAATATGCATGCAAGCTGCTTAATTCTCTTAACTTACTTTACAACTCATAACTTCGGCATTAGGCAAGGCAGGTTTCAGCTGTGGAATTGACAAGCTCTTTGCATGCAGGCTGTGCATTTACTTATTACATTTTGTGCTGTCATCATTTATATAATTACAGTGTGCTTAGTTTCTTTCCAGGGAAAGTGTTTAGTTTTATACTTGTTAGAAAAAATATTAAAAAGTCATCTAAAATGCAAACAAAATATATCACCACTTCCAGTGCTTTGTTATGTAACTTACATTGTCTGTTACCCTATTGTCTTTAAAAAAATATCATTGTCATGAGATGACTACTGTTCATGAACCATATGCACAGTACATTCTTGGTTGAAATTTTAAAGCATAACCTTGTCAGTTGAACAATTAAAAGCAACAAAGTGCATCATGTTTGTCTGAATCAAGGAAATATCACAAAATACAAAATCATGCATATATAATGAAAACCAACATTGGGTGGGAATTGTAGCTTGTTAGACAGTTGCGGTTTATTTAGGAGGTTTACTTAGGAGGTGCATTTCAGTGTACTCCTCATCCTCAGGTCTGGACAGAATTATGAATTGCGTGTACATTATAAATTATAATGAAAGGGAAAAATGAAACAAACTACATTTCAGCACAATGCAGAGCATAAATGCAGATGAATCATTTTCATAAAGGAAATATTATCTCAAGTGTCTGATATATCTCCTCAAACTAATTGAAAGAGAAAATGGAGAAATATAAAATTGCAGTACAGTTGCAGCATAATCAAGATAATGAACAAATCCATGCAAATCATGTACTGTCCTAGTATTATTGTAATTTTCTTTGTTTCAACTGATAAACCGTTTGCATTTGAGAATGGAAGCCTAATGACATGTAACTCACCGGCAATGACTGTTGCTGAGCAGCTCGAACTCTTCCTTGAAGATGAGCTGGTGGGTGAAAGTAGCGGCACATTTCCCTTTGACATCTCCCCTTCATAAAGTCCATACAGACTGTGATCATGTTATCAGAGCTGTCAACAGACACATGTCTTGGGGGATGTGCATATCTGCATTCTTCTCTTGAGCATGCACCTCTCTGATATTCTCGGCAGACCTGTTGAGGACAGAAGTGCATTTTCAAGTTAAAATGGCGCCCTGAACAAAGCCTAAAGGTTCCTAACCATGAAGTCCTGGATATCCAGCACCTAAGCTTATAAGAAAAAAGTGAATTTTTCCAGTCAACTCAAGGCAAAAGGTAGTCAGCTGTGGAAGCCAGGCACTTCTAGTGCACAGCCTTGCTGAAAGTAATCTCCCCTAGTGAGTTTACAACTGGTTCATGTCAATCCATCAGTTAGTCATAAGTTACTCCACCTTTTGCTGTTGGTTTATGTGCAGTCATACTTGGATTTTTTAGATATATAGAGCAGAACAATTAAACAAATGTGGATTATTTTAGACATGTCAGGTAAAAACCCTTTATTTCAGTGCCCTCAAGCTGTGATTGGTAGCCACCAGCTACACCTGTGCAGCAAAGAAGAAGGCAGGTGATGGTCTAGCTATCAATAAACAAGATGCTGGCTCCTTTATTCTTTTCTTTGTTTGATAAGTATTTAGCTAGTGTTGATTGGAGAAATGTTTATTATTTATCATGTTTTTTAGTACAGAGGGATTAAAGATTGAAGAAGTTAAGAGTTACTTATACCAATGGAGCTTGGATCACTGTAACAGACATGAATTCAACACGTACATCATATGAGGCTTGAAGTTAATTTGGCATATACATGTAACATTAAGTCTTTTTTCTGATCTTTCCCCTGATTTTCTCCCAAATATTTGACTTAATGGTAATCAGTGACACAAGAAAATACCCACAACAGTCACCGACATGTATTACTTATAAACTTGTCACCGCTTGGGCATGCTATACTTTACCTACACATAAACATGATCAGGCTTGATACTATTTTTAGTCAAAATATATCTGTCTTATTTACTATACTTTTTTTTCAGATTAATGGTCAAGAATGTGTTTGAATCCTGATGATAACTTGTTTTACCATACTCAAATTTGCAATTAGCCAATCAGAAGCCATGTCCACTGGCCTGATATCCTGCAATCTCAAGTCACTAACGTGATATGGCTAAGATATCATGCTCACTTGACCAGATTAGGGTATGGTAAATATCTAATTGTACCTTTTTGGTATGCTTTGATGGCATATCAGGCTAGTTTGGTCTTGCCATGGGTAGTTTGGCTCGACTACATCTCACCAAAATACAGAACATGGCTCTAACTATCAGCATTACCAGCAGGCTTTAAGCCAGATGGGAGTCTAGGCATCCAGTGGAAGGCCATTTTTTTAAAATTGTTTTATTTTTCATGTGTTGCCTTATAAATTGTTCATTTGAACAGGCCGTATAGCACATTTTGGATGCCCACTTTTCAAATCCTGGCTAAAAGCCTGATTACCAGAAAGGCACAACTAGGTATAAGAACTGGTCAATTTAAATCTACATTTTTTAAATCATCTCTGACCTCAAGTTTGTCAGATTTGTCCAGTCTTCTTGATGGAGTCTGAGCCAGAGCAGATGCATCGGGTAGAAAAGCAACCGGTTGCTGGAGGTACGTCCCATTTGATCCTTGAACACTTACAGGCCAGGTAGAGATCTGAAAGGAACAAGAATAAGCATCAATAAGCTGAATGCCAATCGCTACTCATCCTGCTTCCTTTGGCAAATTAGTGTTTGCAAATTATATGAGTCCAAAGCAAATGAAGGAAAAAATCTTTTCATACCAAGTACTACTATGCCAATAAGTATTGTAGTATTTATTACCAGGGCCCCTCCAGATACCAGCCATGTTATGACGCTGAATAGGCCACAAGGGCTAAATAAAGTTTTACTCACTTACAATAACTATGGCTTCTAGCAAAATGTGCATTGGACATACAAACTATACAACCCTAAATTTAATCCATGTGGCAACTGTATGTGTTAAACACACATTCTATTTAGTTTAAACAACTTTAGTTTCGAAAACTCCAGCTGTTTAACATCAAAAGAGCATAATAGTGTTAAGTGTAGAAAATAAATTTGTAAAAAATTTAATTAAGAATGAAAAGGGCAGTGGAAAAACTTCAATGACCTCATGTCTCATTCTTAATTAAATGTTTCACCAAACCCCTTTGTTACTAGAAATTAATTTGAGAAGTGACAATGCTACCCACTGGTAATAAAGAGAATTTTCTACCATGACACATAGATGAGAAGAAAAGAAAAATTTAATATGTCAATCTGCAAACTCCAAAACGCAAAAGCACAACCTAAATCAGTCAATAACAGGGTTTCTGTGGGCAAGAATGTGAAAAGTTGAGAAAATGAGACTCTTTCACAGTTCATGGGATTAACAAGTGGTTGGCCAATTGGTTGATTGAGTGGAAGTTCCAGGTCAAACAAAAACATCAAGCAACCAAGAGAGCAAAATATAACAAAGCAGGCTTCCCCAGGTGGTCAGCTGAAAAAAGGCAGACCACAGGTGGCCCAGTTAACAATAAGCTAATTTAAGTCTTTCACTCAACACTGAATTAGTTAGGCGGAACTGGTACATTAATTAACAAGTAGTACTTGATACCACTGGCTTAATGATGAAACAATCAAATTCAATTATCGCAATCAATACCACAGAAATTGAATGATCACATGCTTCAGGATCAGTAAAGTCAAGTAAACCTTTATTCTACAGGGTGGCCCATTCAGCTCGAAGGCTGGTATCCATAAGGGCCCTGTAAATGTAGAATTAATTAACTATACATTAAAAATCTATCTATAACATTGATTAAATTACACATTAAAAATCTAAGGGCTGCATTAGAAGTGACTTACAAATGAGGGATTTGCCAGCATCTGTTGAGCTAGGGGTGCAAAAGCTTGCTGCTGGAAAGCAATCTGCTGCTGCTGTTGTTGTTGCTGTTGCTGCTGTAGTAGGCGACCATTATTCTCCATCTGGGCTTTTATATGCTTTGGAGGATGCAAATACTTGCACTTTTCTCTATGACACCGTCCCTAAAAACAGCAATAAAATAGTCTGTGAGCCTTTCATTATTGTCTGATAAGAAGATAACATACTATCTTACTATTTATTTAACAAAAGGTGCTTTCTTGTTAATGCTTCAGGAGGGGGTTTAATCCGATTATTAGAATGCAGGGCAACAGGCAGGTTAAACTTAGTACAAATAGTAGGTCTATGCAACTGTCTAGACATACGGCCTAAAAGTCACCTGTTATGTGTCAACCCACTTGCTCAACATAAACATCTAAACTTAGTCCACCAATATCAGTCCTTTACTCTAAAAAATCTACAAAATGTAAGATATATTTCTATGAGAGAACACCTGATGAACACAATATTATTGCTGTTGACCTCGATAATTTGACCCATCACTGTGCTTCTCTATATTTCTGCACCAGTCAGACTGATTTAGAACTTAAGTTTGCCAAAGCAGCTTATTACGTATCTCATAATAACCCTTGAGTTTGCTCATCTCGTTACAAGCATTATCTTTTAAGTCAATAACAGTCATTGAGTAAAAAGTATGCAAAAAAAGAGACAAGACCTCTTAGAAATTTCCCTATGTAAAGTGAGACGCTATACTAGTTTGTTCCAATGCATCAAGTATCAACTACTTAAAGATTAATCCAACCTAAGGATTCAATACGTCATATTTCCCTCTTGAAATATTATCACAGATTAATAACGTATACAGTCTGAAAATATACCACAACCAGGACAAAAATAGCACCTGCCTAGATCCCATGATCCAGACCAACAGTGAGAGCAAAAATAATACTTTGATATTGTCCTTTGCTCCCTTTACGTCTCACACTAGAGACTTACATTTCAAACCCAGACATCAAAGATTCTGTTATTTGCAATATCAGTAAGAGGCATGTGCTAAGACTGAAGCTAAACTTCAAAAAGACAACCTAAACTGTTTATGGAACTACAAGTGGACTTAAAAGTTACAGCTGTAGACATACTGACCAAAGAAGGATTAAATGCAGAATGTCCAAAATGGTCATGGCACAGCACAGGCAAATCAAAAATTCCCATATTCTAAACTCCTGCTCTCCCACCAATAACCTATTTTCCCTTCTGGGTTTTTTTTTTTCTAGAGAGGGTAAGGGGTCAGTGTCTGAGCAGAAGCTGTTTTGAAAACTTGAGAGGAACAACAATTAAGAGCAATCATAACCACACAGTGTCCATCAAGCAGAGAAAAACACATCTAGAAATGCTTAAGGATCAAGGAATTCTATTTTTTTTTTCCTATTCTGCAAAATACTTTTCAGAGCCAGCCACCTTGTGACAGCAACATTCTCACAGGCAATGCTGTGTTTTGACACACTTCTTAACAACTGAAATCTGGCTCTTATTCTCTTATTTCAGCCTCATATACAAATAAGTCATCACTTCTAATGATAAAAAAATGAGTGCCTTCCATTTAAAACGCATGTTAACTAAACAAATCAACAGCTGACTGATTCGGAGCCAGCCATTGTGTTCCTGAAGAACAATAGACTGAGTTTGACAAAAAACCTAATGTTCCAAGTTTCTCACAATGTTGGCAAGTTGACACCATTGTTTTAAAAGCCAGTGCAACAGGTTTCATGTTTAAACTTCCTTCTAAAGCACTGCCTATGTCACAAAAAGCTATCAAATATTTCTCCCTTCCAAGTCAATTCAGAAATGATTTACTTCGAGCCAAAACACAGAGAAGGAAAAAATTCAACTTGCGAGTATTGCTATTTAATTGTAAAGATTCCTCACAGGTAACCATGAATAATGGTCTTTTGAGATCTTTTAATTGACAAAACTCAAAATTGCTCAATGTAACATTTAATGCTAATTTGCAAATTTCCCTCACTAGTGCAATAACACACATTTAAAGTATTTATGTTTTATTTTTATTACCATTCCTTTAATGCTAAGTTCTCGAAGGATTTACAGACAACAAGGAAATCTCCTTGCTTGTCAATTGCACCAAAAAAGAGCAGATATGAAAAGCGAAGTGACAGGAAGTTTTAAAGGTGAATCAAGTTTCTTTTGTCTGAGGACATGGCCTATGATAATGTCTTGTGCAAATTTCAATTTCTGTCACGCAAACCGCAACTGAATTGAACGTTGATGATATTCACAATATTCAAAGCAACTATTTAATGGTCCAATCAACTATCGCGTGAGCATTACTACAAAACAAATTTGAGCTTGAACACGCAATATTTTTTCTTTTGATTCAAACAGAAAATCCACAAGACTTTTCAGTTGAGAAAATGCGTGCAGAATTCCACGAAAAAAATATTTTTATGTTCTCAAGCCACGAACCCGAATAAGAACGAAAATTTTAAAGTCTCTTTTCAATTTCGTGAGTTGAACAAAGAAATTCTGCGTCCATATGTTGATAATCAAGTTCTCTTGCTGCGTTTATCGACTCGGAGCTCACGAAACACAAAAATGGTTTATAATAGCACGCGTTGATTTCCGTAGCCGGGTTATTCCGTGAAGGGAAAAGATCAGGGTAAACTCCGACTTGTTTTCACGCAACAGCTGAAAAACAAAGTCGTGCAAAAAAAAAATCACGAACTTGTTAATCAGTCACGAAAGCTAGATCTTCACTCTTTTCCAAGACGAGTCAACACCTTGCTCACGAAACACGCAATGGAGAATTTTGGATTCATAACACACGAAAGAGCAAACTTTCAACTTCTCTGACAACGCACAACATGCCAGAACACAGTAAAGCTTATATTCGCCACCGGTTTACGTGGTTCACGCAGTTAAGCAACGAATATTGCTCCAGTTAAACAAAAGAGCCACAAACATCGTTTAGACCCCTAGCATAGCCACTTAGACGATTCACAATCAAAGTTTTAAGTAGTTTTAAGAGAAACACATAGTATTTCCTCAAAATATTGAAGTGCTGATGTTGCATAACTAGTGAACCACTCACAGCGAAAATTGTCGTGCCTATATACCGGGCTATATACTTCTTGTGACATAAAATTGCCACATTGTCAAAGCCACTGGGAAATTTCCCCCGAAAATAGTTTCCGAACGTAATTTCTCTGAACACGCAGTCATAACACAGTTATAAGCTTCACGGAAATTTGAAACGCCCGCAAAAAACTTGTTCGCAGTTAACGACGCAACAAGTTCTCGAAAATCTTTGCCAACAAAAGAAAGTTCGAGGATTATGGCCATAAAGCGCGGAAATGTCACCGCAAGTACTCCATTTACCACACAAATATTCCCGTTAAAATAAAAACGCAGATACCTTCAACGAGTCGAAACACGCCGTGACTTTTCCATTCTGAATGAGCACATGAGCGGGTGGATGTGCGAAACGACATTCGTCCTCTGTTCGGGAACACTTTCCACGCTGAAATTCTCTGCAAACTTCGACGAGTAACCATCTTGGATCTTTGCCCATGACTGGGACTATCATCTTCGAAAGAAGTCTGTCTGGTGTCTCCTTTTCAGTAAACAAATACCTAACAAGAAAAGGCGGAAATCATGAATGAAATAGTTTTTTCTGCGCCACAGCCGACGATGCGAGCGCGATTTTCCCGATATTTCTAGATGTTAGGGGAATTTTGTATTTGGCAACAAAAAAACTACGCATGCTCACTGGGACCAAAACATCGCGGGCTTAGATTACATAACAATGAGTCATCAATTACTTGTCGAGGTCAGGGTCATGGCGCAAGCAAAATTTGCCGTTCTTTCCGGCTTAAGTCACGGAAAATGGGAACAAAACGTGAATCTATTTAGGTGTCTCTTATTTTAAGTCAATGATTGGGCACAATATCCCTTTTTGAGGAGAAATCTAGACTCGTGACTTAGCCGCCTGTGACGCATCACGCGAGTACGTGATGGATCGTGCACCTTGGCCCCAGCCCGCGCGATTACGTCATCACCGAGAGTGATTTAAAATAGAGGTTGTCCTTTGTTCGCTTTTCCGCTTCAGGAGTCCGTGAAAGAGAGTGGTCAAATGCCACAAAACCGCATCAAACGGTCGGTTCGCTCCATCTCCAGCTGTCCCGTCAAAGAACGAAGGACAGAAGAAAGAGAAGCGCATTCAATTGAAGTGTTTAGAGAGGGTAACACAAAGAACGCTTCGGTGACACATGAGTCGGAACTGACAAGGAACAGCAAAAGCCGTGCCGTCCTTTGAAGTAGCGGGGAAATTATTCAGTCATAATTAACTTGATCGCTTCTCGTTACGGGTAGTCATCTCCAAATTTCAACCGCTCAGTGAGTAAAGCATTGCGTGTATCTTGAAGGTTTCGTGCATTTCACAGAGAAAAACATAAAGCCAAAAGACCGGAGCCCGAAGCAATTTTTCTCCGTGGGAGGTCGTATGTTCTTGCATGGTCCCTAGCGTTGTTTGGGCCATGTTTGTTCCGTTAGAAACCATAAGATGAATTCATTTCGTATTTATTTTAGGCTCGTTAAGAAAACCGATGCAATCATCTTTTCCACTCAATTGTGTCTTGTACGTGATCTATGCGAACTCTAATGGGCCAAATTCTAATTAGCAATCCTCTTCATCGCTGATTAATTCACCTGCGCTCGAATTATTGCTTACCCTTTGGCAAGGCAATACCAAACATGGGAAATTTTCTTCGCCGTGTGTATTAGTAAGCATGATTTCGTTCGTTTACCAATTTTGTAAACAATTAAACCCCTCTTGAGCTGAGACGGACGCAGGCTGGCGGCGACAATGCGGCTTCTTTCCGGGCAATAAAAGGTATTATTGTACAAACTGCATCGGATCATTTCGCCGAATTTTATTCAGCTTTTCGGCTTGAAGAAAACAGCATGGGTTTTTAATTTGGGGTTCGTTTCGACCAAAAGCGCCTCAGAACGAATCTGCCCGAGTTAACCCGAGACCCATATTGCCACACTGCGTCAAAAACTGTACCACAGAGGGGTTATTAAGTTGCTCACCCCTTCTCAGCAGAAATAACCGAATAAAGATGTTTTAAGTGCAATTTTCGTGCTCTCAGAATGTCAGTACTAAGTTAGGGCATTTCGTGACTTGCGGCTCTTGCCGAAAGTATAAATCAGCAATCAGAAAAGCCAAAACAAATTAAACATGCGCCCGTTTCAATGAAGTTGCATCGCGTTGATCAACCACCTATCGATTCAACTAATGTTTCAATCTTTCGACAACCTATGTTCGCTTTTATTATTGAGTATTTTTTTTTACTGAAAGTTTTTAAGCTTTTTTTCATGTGAACTGAAAGGTGGCATTGTAAAAATGACCGGCTGATCAAAACCTCTGTTGCAAAGAAGAAGGCCACAAAATTAAGTTGGGTTTATTTTTTCGTCTCTCTATGTGTCTCTCAGTGTGTTTTATTGACTGGACAAAGTGAATTAAGAGGACTATCACTTAAACCAGTATTACCTCTGCTTGCATTTTGCTGATATGATTTATAATTCAATTTCTAAGAGACTTTCTTTCCCTTTCAGGCCGGAGAGAGCATTTGGAGGAAACAGTGGCAGCATGGTCTGTCAGTTGGTTTGATCGCAGCAAAGTTTTTTGAAAGCCGTGAACAACAGGTTTTTTTCACATTTTAAAAATTCTTTTTACAGAGACGTGCTGCGAGAGAAATGGCTGGTAAAACACTTACTTTGTCACTTGTAGTTATGTGGTGTTTCACAATTTTAGAACCGTATCTTCTGCTTACCGGAAGCCCAAACACTGCGCTGGTGGGCGAGAAATGACTTGTAATTATTGACTCAGTTGAACTACGCTAGTCGTGATCATACTGTGAATGAGATAACTGTGTTTTCTAACTAAACCAAGAGTCAATACAGAGTTTTCTTTAACTCAATTCTCTAAACAGTCGGCTCAGACGATTTAGAGCATTGTTCTCAGTTAAAAAAACTACAGTCTAGTGGTCTCATCGCTCTTTGTTACGCCAACGCATTAAACTTTTTTTCTTTTTTCGTCACCTCTAAAACCACTGATTCATAACTGAGGTATTTTTTTTCTATGACTCTCGATTTTGAGTATGTGACTTGCCAAGATTTTAGCTAACTCTAATGAACGTTCATCCGCCTGCAGTTGACCAAACACACAAAAGCCTACCCACGTTTCCTTCCTGAGCATTGAACCAGTAAATTCCTCGTTCTTGTTGCTCGGAGCTACTTAATCTCTCAGAGGAACTGACAAAGATATCACCAAGGCAGCAGAACTGTTACTAGCCACTCAGTTACCTGCGATGCGCAGTGGCGCACGTGTATTAAAATGCCGGCGTCTTCTATTCTTCGACGCGACTCAACTTCCTGTCTCTCTCAATGGCGAACCCGTCACAATTCTAAAGCGTCCTCTTTCGAGTAACAGCCGTGCAGGCCTTAGTTTTGTTTCAATCTGCTCACCAGACATGCCGTAAGACATACAACTCCACCAGGACGTTGTTGTAATTATAAAGTGTTGTTTAACATTTTGTTTCCAAAAACAATTTTGACCTACTCGCACTGTACAATTTGTGACAAGGCTCAGGTCTTCGTCGAAACTGCGTCACTGAGATAAACAGCATGTTGCAGTTCTTTTCCTTTTGTTCACGTTCAATGTACTGCGAATTTATTCTTTGGAGTTTGATTGAGTTAGAACTAAGGAATTTTGTCAGTTTTTGTATCCGGCCAGGCGTAGGTTGAAACGTGACTTCCACGCATAAATTTCTGAGTTTAAAATATACTGTCAGAGATACTTTCAGTAGTTATAGAAGCCCCGAATAGACAGTTTAATTGCTCTGAACGCCAACGCTTTGTGTAGGAACGAATCAAAGCTATAATGCTTCACAATTCGATTCGCAAGAGAACAAAAGCACGTTTCTCTAGTTGGACTCAGCAGTCGACGATGATTTGGTGATGACGGAAGCATCTTTCTTCGCTGCTGTCAAGACTGTTAAAAGTGGACTATTGTTTCGTTCAAATAAATATTTCAGTACAAACCTGGGTGCCGCGGTAGAAGCGTGAATTGCTGCGTTGAACAGCTGTTCATTCATTTTATGCTGTCTAGAAGCCAGTTTAGGTTTTTTAGCAAGAAGTTTTGCCAGTTTTCCTCTGAGTGCGGATCAAGCCTTCCGAACGCGCGCGACCATCATGCGAACTGCACTAACTCGGAGTTTATGATTGAGTATGCGCAATGCGGGCCTGTTGACTCCGCTGTTGCATAGCTGTGGTAAACGAAAGAACCGCGCCCATTTTCGATAAAAATCTCTCGGAACAAACACTTCAACTGTTCTTGAACAAGGTATAACTATAGGAAACAAACAACCAAGCGAGATTTCGTCAAGAAAACTAAGTTTTAACTTCGTGTTGTTCAAAGCAGCACGTTTAGCCCGACCTTTAACATTCAGTCATAAGGCAAAAGAAAACGAATCACCGGAAACGTGAACAGAAAACGCCAAAAAGCTGTTTTGCTCCAGTTTTCTTTGTGGTAGTGTTTATAACGGCAGGCTTACGACGATTCGAGGCAAGTTCAGGAAATGGCGTAAATATTTACCGACTCCTGTTTTCGCTCCTCCATTAACCGGAAACAACCTCCTCACCAGAGGGCAAAACAACGGGGGGTTAAATTGTAAACACGGAGACTACAGTTTTCAGTATACCTGACTGGAACCATTGCCAGTTTAAAGAGATATGTTACTTTCGCTAGGAACAGATATTTTTGGAACCAGAGTGTTTTTGGAACCAACACAAACAACAGTTGAACATTGCACGAAAATTCCCAGATGAAAAATTTGGAAATTGTTATTTTGGTACGTGACGTGCTGAACGAAAAGAGAAATTTTACGAAAACAGTCGTTAGTTTACAGTTTCTGTGGTGAACCATTTTCTCAGAACATAAACAACTGATGTCGATGAATGCGACTTTACACGTTAAGAGAAGTTCCGGATGTGACGAACTCGTGAACTTTGCCCGGTCGGACCGGACTTGCGAGAAAATGGTCAATTCACGTGACAACTAACGCTGAAGTATGTCACGTTTATGATGACTATCGTATCGGATATGAACGAGACCAGGCGGAATATGACGAAATATTTCCGAGATTTTTTCGTGATGGCCCCGTTTTACGTGAGTCAACCGCCATTTCGAATTGGAGCTGACATGGCGCACAGTAAATAATAATAACGCGACTCTGCATGAAACGATCAAGTGCGCTTTACATCTTTAAAATTAAAACTAATCCTAAAAGACATAAATTTACAATGGTTGCAAAAAAAATACAAAGCACGTCAAAATCAATAAAAAAAATTCAGTAAAAACTCAACAAAAAGCTAACCTGATATAAATAAAAAGCTAACCTAAAATAATATGCCTTTATCAGTTGATTGTAAAGGGAAAGAACCGATATCAGAATGCGTCGAATAATGTCTGAAACCATCTGTGAACTAAACAAATCAGATAAGAGATTTGCTGATCAAATCTGAAAAATGTAGGCAGTTTACAACAAGAGCAAGTACAATCAGTGAAATCCCAAAACAGCAAAATGTGTTCCTTGTTAGTCTTCTGTTGACATTTACTGGAAGTATTAAAACTTCACTGGCCAGTCTGAAGATAATCGTTCGTTATACCGTTGACTTCATTACACTGAAAGGATCTGAAAGGCGCTGCAAACTTGAATTGGTTTCACTGTTATCCCATTTCAAACTTCCAAAGATTATTTTTCGAACTCAGTCAGCAACTTCTACAGGCATTACTAGGTTCTGGCTTTTTCTCTTACAAACATTGATTTTGCAACAGTGTTTGCCAGAATTCAAAATCACTAGTGCCGACTAGTGGGCCAACTCGCAAACTAACAAAAGGCTAAGAACTTCCGTTTGTAATTTTCGAGAAAAACCTCTTACTCAGTTGACGATATTTATCGGTGAATGTCTTAACTTTAAACTTCCTTTGATTTGTAATAACCGATTAGTTACTTTTTTTATGAAGCTTCTCGCAAAACAAAGCAAAAGAACTAGTACATTTGTTGACCAACATTTACTTCTAGTGAATTAATTTTCAGGCACTGCGTTACTTTTCTTGTGAAGCTTCTCACAAAACAAAGCAAAAGAACTAGTACATTTGTTGACCAACATTTACTTCTAGTGAATTAATTTTCAGGCATTGCGTTAAATAATTCTTACCTCCGAGCAACGTTACCTATGTATCCGTCGATATGTAAATAGAGGGTTAATGAATTGACCAACATTTACTGCTAGTGAATTAATTTTCAGGCATTGCGTTTAATAATTCTTACCTTCGAGCAATATCACTTATGTGTCGATATGTAAATAGAGGTTTAATGAATTGATGTTGTGTTCAGATTGGTGATGCCTACGTACTGAATCATGCCGAATAACATCAGCTATAATAAGCGGGCGTGTTAAATACATGAAATGGCGAAATTACGAAATGACGCCACGAGTTAGAATCAATATGGGATACGGATGTCTATAAAAGTTAACTTTTACTATTATTTAGAGCTAAACACTGTCGAGCGGAGTCAGTGATGTTTAGGCTGACCTGAGCGCTACTTAGGCTAAGCAGAACGCTATTTCGACTTATTCATGCTGACCATAGTGCCATTTCGCCATTTTGTGTCTTTTTGTGTTTCGCCATTTTGTCTTCGCGGGAAAAACGAGGTAGTTTTTGTAAAACGTGAAAACTCAAGCACTGACCTTTTTAAAACGTGCACAGAGAACGCAAACTTCCGGCCCTACGATACATAACCAAACACTTTTTAAACAGCACATTTCATTATACCAAAGTCGCAAACAATGGACGTTGAATTTTCCTGACGATGACTGATCAACAAGTATCGCGCAATGTGTAATTTTTTTGAGGAACGGTTCGTATTTTTCTTGTCACTGAAAATGTTGGACCGTCGGTTAATATAATCTCGGTTTTCAGTAGAATAGAAAGTCCATAAGAGATTGTTGGTGAAAAGTTAAGCAAATGTACTCTTTGGTCAAAGTACGGAATTTCGGCGTAAAAGTGTCAAAGTTCATCAATGTAAAATCAGACGGGCCTGTGGGAAATTACATTATTTACCCAACTACGAGAAATTCAATATTCGTTTTAACGATACTAAACTCTGGAATTCTATTGAAGAAAATCTCAAATCCAAGCGGAGTTGCATTTATTTGAATGATCTCGTAAAAGAATCTTTCATTTCCAACTATCATATAGAGCATTTTTGTACTTGAAAGTTTAGTTAATCGGTGCACAGCGCTTGCCTATTTTGTTTTGACTGTGTGTGTTTACAATTGTATGCTTGTGTAGGTTTATGTCCTATCTCTTCCACATTTTTCTTTTTCTTTTTTTAGCATGGCCCAGCTTCTTAGCATGACTAGCATTTGCTATCTCTAAGTGGCTGTGCTCTCCTGTATCTCAGTGCAAATATCAAACCTGGATCAATTTATTTTTCTTATTAGTATATCTGTATGTAAATCTAAGTGCTCAAAATAAAGATTGTTGTTGGCGCGGCGCCGGAATACGGCGGCTATTTTGGAAGTCAAACTTCTTCCCTAGAATAAGATTTACACCGAGTTCATAACGGTCTGAGAAATTGTAACCAACTGGAAAAGGATTTGAGGGATATAGCCGATCGAGGTGGGCTTTGGTTGAGAAAATAAAGGCTGGTACGACAACGGTTATGGCATAGCGTGACTTGGGTGGCTTCCTCATTTAAGTTGGCACAAAATAGTTTTCAGCGTTATTATAACCACTCTTTATCAGTTGATGCTACAATCGTGGTATCAAAAAACTACCCAATCATTGGTGAACACGTTGTTATCATTTTCGTGACTCAATAGGTTACCATAGCAGCAATATAACCTGCTAAAAACACCCTTAATTATAGCTTTAAGGGCATATAATTCAAAACCGGCACTGTGAACTTTTTTTTGTATTATCAAATTTTAATTAACACGAAGGGACGCAACTTTTGGCAAAGTTAAAAAAATTCTGTTCATAGGGTTCAGAGCCACCTTAAATTTTTTTTAAAATTTTGCCAAAAGAAGGCCAAAAGTTGGATAATGATTGTCGTGATGAAGGAACCTTTCCAATCATGGATTAAATAAACTTGCCTCGTCATTGTTCTGATGTTGTTAATTTTCAAACAGTATAAAATAAGAACAAGAGATTAAGACCAATCAGAAGAACTGCCACTATATTTTTTTTTATTAAAACTGACAACTCGAAATCACAACCAGAAGTGAGAGATGAAAATATGAAAATTTAAGAATAAATAATCGCATCATATAAGCAATAGTTCACAATTGACCACAAAATTTTAAATCCGTTGAATTCTATTTTTTGTTTTACAGAACATTAATAGTAACAGACGTTTCTAAGTTGTTCGCTCAATAATTTCTTGCAAACCACTGTCACATAATCTCTTCAGTCACAAAAAATGTGTACTCTTGGAATTGCCTGAAAAGTGGAAATAGCTGATTAAATTAGCACGATTGCTTTGTAGAGACCATTACTTTCTTAAAACAAAGTTTTATTGATTGAGAGACTTTTTAAAAAAAACGAAGAGGATTACATAAGGTGACGTTACCTTAATTTGCAATCTTTTTAAATTCAAAATTTTAGATGCAGCCTATTAAATGCATATGTTTAAATTTTGAATTATAAAATACTCGAGGTACTACGCGCGCTCTCATTGGTCGATAGGTGTGTTTAGCGGAGAGTATGTAAACACGGTTCTGACGTTTTAGATCTGCGCGTATTCTTGAGAAATATTTTATAAAAGCAATAGAGCACTTTTTCCGTGTTTACATAACGTCATCTAAACACTTGGGGGCTTGGAAGAATTCTTTAAAGTTACGCAAACCCTCGACTGCGTCTCGGGTTTGCATAACTGTCTCGAATTCTCCGATCCCCTCGTGTTTAGATGATGCTATGTAAACACGGAAAAAGTGCTCTATTGCTTAAATGTTCAAACCAACACGAGATCCGCGCTTTACTTGGCCGGAGTTTTCTTCAGTCTATTAAAAGGAATGCCTTGGCAATCTTAGTAATCCATCACGAACGCTTTTCTACTTGTAGTATCCAGTTTGACCTAACTCTGCGCAAAAAGCTAAATATTCGGGGCCCGAAATCGCCCCAATACGAAAAATAGACCTAAATATTCCGAGGTATACTTGAAATACATCTGAATATCCTATTACGGGTGGAAACAACTCCGGGTTTTTTCTGACTACAGAAAATACATCACAACTACATCAAAGAACACACTTGAATATTCTAGTTGAAAGTCACGTTTTTCTTGCGCACATGCTTGAATATATAATGGACAGCTAATGACCTCTAAAAATTCACATGTCTATGCTTGGAAACTCCAGGGGTGTCTCGAAAAACGCAGTCCACAGACCGCAGTCTGCATTTTCGAGGTCTGTGTTTTCGAGACACCCGAAACTCTAGGTGTCAGATCATATCACGAATCGCGTGCGCCTTGGATACTAGCTGACACTCTGGGATTCTAAGGCGTCACGTAACGATTGCTTTAATTTTAATGCAGAAAAATTTTGCCGCATTACAGCTTGACACGGAAAGGAATACGTTTGCTATATTCCGCACTTCGTTGTTCCAAACTACTTAGAGTTACTTTCTCAGTGTCATCAATACTTTCAATCTGGGACACATTTTTTTTCATCTCCTTTGTTGTTCACGATCATTTTAGCGATGTCTGATCAACATGAGTTCACCACGGTTTTGTTTGTCAAACTAGAACATGTTTACAAATTACGAATTGTGCACTGATTGGACGCTATCGATCGCCACTATGTAAATAGTTCCATCCTGCAGCCAAAATAATACTGTTTCGAAAAACCGCGTGACAGTTGTTTTGTCCTTCATTCCTTCACCAGGACAATTCTGAGGTCAACTGATTGTGCACTGCAAGTCCCAATGCACTGTCCAGAACAGATATTTTAAGCCTCCATGCCAGTGCCTGTAAAAAGACCGTAGGTGATTTTGGACATGATATCATACATGGAACGCCGACTACACTTTATTGTTTTTCAGGCCGAGGCTGAATATTCTTATTTTTCTGCCAATTTTAGGCTGAAAATATCCCTGTGAATATTTTAGGATTATAGCGTAAGACATTTCTGTTTACGAATGTATTTGGGGTCTGGATGATGTTAAGGTAATTTGGCAGCCCGCCTGCAGGCAATAATTAAAGCCTTCGTGATATGACGCACATAACATATTGCAGAAATGTAACTTTATTAGCATCGAACATACGGCTAGTGCTGTTTTTGTTGATTTTTGGCCAGTTTTGCCGTTTAGAGAAAGGAGGAACTTTATACGGCTTAGTTAAAAAATATCATTAGCTATCATTGTGTTGTATTCACAAATTTTCAGCACAAAAAATTAAATTCTTTTCAAAATCTAAGCCTCCGGTTTATTCTTAAAATACTCTTAAAATTTCGCAAATTTCAACCTCGATATTCTTATAAAACATATTATAATTAAAAGAAAGAGTGCATCGCAATTGCGGCCACGGCGAGGAGAAAAAGTGGATTATAAAACGTGGTCTATTTTGTGTACAAATTGTTTAATTAAGCATGCGCAACCACGGAGGATCGATGATCCTGCTGGTAGAGTGATCTAATAGGCTTGTCATAGAAACTATGGTCGTGTTCTATTGGGATCAACCGTGTCAACGTATACTACCGTAACCGGTTTGGATTGATAAGGTTAACGTTTCTTAATAGAACACTTTTCCAACCGTTTTCGGTTGCGACGCAAAATTCCTAGGAATAATCCTTACGCGAGCAACAATCTCGCGACATAGTCACACAAATGGCTTTTCAACCGTTTCAACCTGGTTTGAGGCCGGTTGAAAAAGTTGATCAACCAAACCAACCGGAAACGGTTTCTCCCCAATAGAACACGAAGAAACTCGTATTTTATAAATTGTGAGTACAAATAAATGGTTGTTGTTGTTGTTGTTGTTGTTGTCGACCAACCCAACCAGCCAGAAACGGTTGATCCCAATAGAACACGACCTATAGTACACCTTTAAAAAATCATCCTACGTGGGATCGGTCTCTGCTTTTATATTCTCTATTTTGTCTGCATTTTTTATGAATGTAAACCGGTAAAAGTAGCTTCACCAGGCCAGAGTGCAAAGGAATAAGAGGACGAGGAATTAAAACAAATAATTTCACAGACGTTTCAGGAGTACTGTTTAGAAATTTTGCCTGTTAAAACTGGCTAGTGCTAGAAGAAAAGTGTATTTGTAAAGGAAACCTAATTTCTCAGTTGTGTAAGCTTTGTTTTCCACGTTCAGTACCCTGAACGTGTGAAATAGAGTTTACTCAACTGAGTATCGCATTCTTTTCAAAGTCTGCCAATCGAATTTAGACCCATAACTTCAAGATTTCTATTTAGCATAAGCTTAAGTGAACATTTTTACTAATTTTGTACGCCTTGTTTTTACCCAGTTTCACCTTTTTTTTAATCTTATTTTCACTATAGTTTCTTTTACAGAACCCCTCTGATAACAGTGTTGAATACACTGATGGGTCATCCTGTTTATATATCCTGTTATATTTTTTCGAGGGCGTTGGGGGGCTGGGCGATTTCAGTAAACTGAAAACTCCTGCAGAACAAAAACTGGTGGAAAAAAAAAATCGTGCGAGGGGAGGCATGGGGAAAAATCGAGCAAGTGCTATTTACTATCCAGGTCCTGTTAAAAGGAATTCTTTCACAGGTTGTTGCCCACCCAAAAAATCCTACAGAACCTAAAGGTGAGAAAAAAATTACCTTATTACATGAAATTTTCGCGACACGTTAATTTCGCGATTTTGAGGTTCGCATATTTCGCGACACCTTAATTTCGCGATTTTGCGAAAATTTTGTATTTTGACTCACTTTAATTTCGCGTTTTTGAGTGAGACACACTATATTTCTTTGTCAATGTTATTTAAGATGTCCCTGAATTTGATCAAACAACTTTATCAACAACGTCCAAATAAACAGAAACGCAACTGGTTATGTAAACAGTAACAAGAAAGATGTTCTCACAG